TATATATATATATATATCTCACCTGGTGCGACTTGTAGAAGAAGAGGCTAAAGTTGGTGAAGACCACCCAGAGTTTCTGCCAGCCGTTACTGTTCTTAAACTTCCTCAGCAGATTACCCGACAGCTGGTTCTGGAAACACAAAAGACACGCAAGGATAAATAAAGTGAAACAAAAGTCAGACTTCACTAAAGTGTTAGAAATGGGGGAAAAACAGGAAAGAAAAATCTGTTAGCTCTAATTATACTCGTGCAAAACCAGGACATAATTACAATAAACAGACCAAAAATATTCCAGGATACATCATTCTCTTTCACATTTGTTTGGCATGAAGTTAAGGAACATTAAACATTGAGTAGTCTTGTAACTAGCGTGTCCAGTAAAATGTAGTCTCTGTTTTAATCTATGGATCAGATGTTTCATCATGTAGTTTCCCTACATGGATCAACAAATGTTTGCTTTTGCAGTACCTCTCTACTCCAGCAGGTGTCACTAAAGGACAGGCTGTGTGCTCTGTACCAGCAAACCACAGAGATAGACACAGGCCCCTGAAGTCTGCTGAGGGGCCTCGTCAACTCACTGGCCGGACTATTGGCCTCTAATGTCAGCGTGGACAGACGGACAGAGGTGGAAATGGACAAAACAGACAGATGGAAGATGGAGGAAAGAGACAAAGGGTGGAAAGATGGAGGTGCAGAAGAGAGAAAAGGACAAAAACACAGACATGAGAAGAAAAGTAAGACAAAAGGACATTGGATCAATGGTCCTTTGCCGGTGGAGAAGAGGACCAGGAGAGACAACATGTAGAGATAAACACACCGGACACAAACACACAAGACTCCACAGCTTGAAACAGATGTGTGATGTGTGGAGAAAAAAAGAGAGAAGACGTTTAAAGAGACACAGTCTGGTACCTCCACAGCAACACTAAAGTCCACCATGGACACGCTGGTGTTGCGATGCCAGCAGACGTGCACGGTAGTGTTACCACGGTGACCCTGGCGCTCCAGAGACGAGCGCGAGCCGCAGAGCTCCTCCTCCGACTCCAGCTCAGTTCCACCGTCCTCCGACAGCTCTGGGGAACGACGGGCAGTTCAAAGATGCTGGTTAGCAGAAAGAACGGTGCTCTGACCGGGTAGAATTTAAACAATGTACACATGAACTATCCACCAGTTAATGAGCTGATGTGTCCAGCCAGTTGAGATTAACAGAGAACAGATAAATAAAAACAAACAGTGGAGTGTGTACTGTACTGTCTTCATGGAGTCTATTAAAGGGTTCAAGAAAAGAGAGGTTTTAAAGATATAACATGAAGATACAGCACATTATTTGACACATACGTGTCAGGTTTCACTAATGTTGCCTCGTCTGCGGAGCCCTCGTACTGACAAGACGTAGGTAAAAGGTTGTTAAACAAGTCAAGAATACACAGAGGAATAAATAAAAGTGCAAATCCTTCACTTCACTTTCCCCTTTCAAGGGTGAAGGAGAAACTACGGTGGCCGCATAACGCGCAAAAAACAGAGAACGTAGTAGAAAGATGGTCGTTCGGCTTTATTTCATTCTAAGGAAACAAAACACAACCATTTATATATTCAGTTGATTAAACACTAATGAAAACATACATATGAATATTGAATTTGTGCCAATAGATCCTCCTCAGTGTTACACTGGACTTTTAACCAACAGTACTTATTGTAATGAGCTGTATTTTTGACATGTCTGATATCCTTTTACTGCCTGTTGTTGGTTTTGGGGCTCCAATGATCTTAGAACAACAAACCAAGTGAGCTTTAAGGAATATTTGAACTCTGATATCAGCTGTTGAAGGATCAGAAATGATTAGAAATATCAACTTTGTGTGCCCTGTGTTTATTTAGCTTGCAGTGCTCTCACTTTTGGGGGGTACAAAAAGGTTCAGATATAACCGTGTTTTCATGGTATCTCATGAAAGAAGTTGCTGATGTTCACTACAGTACATCAACCCTGAGAAACAACATCCTGAAGACTGTTACGCTGCAAAACTGGCTTAAGTGCTGTATTTTAACTGGCTGCAGCTGGAAGTGGAAAATGCTGCTGTACAAGTTGACTGGATCCAGAGCAGCGCACTACGCTTGTTTTGGGCCTCCTGCTTAGGCTTTTTTGTGTGGCTGACCCTTTTTTATAATAAAGACTTGGATGTAGTTCTGTAACAACAATCTGGCTTTAATAGACTGACTCTGGTTAATATTGAGCACAGCTAGCCTTGCCACTCCTCTGTCTCATCTTTTAGCACTACAAACACACTCACTTTTGCTATTTTGGGTTTTAACATGGCTGCATGATACGGGACAAAGTGCTGAGCCACATCAGTGATCAAAGCAATTTCAATACAGTCTGGACAAAAGAAAGGAGGAAAAACTACCCTTTTGTTGTTACTTGTAAGCCAATACTCTTAAACAGTTTGAGTTATTAAGTGTACATAGCCGGTGATTTAGCTGAGGCACAATGGAGACGTCAAACCAAAGGTCACCAGGAGGAGGCCTCATTGAACATCGTGACAGGCGTTTAAGATAAAGAATGAGGAAAAAGAAGGAGAGAAAAGGGGGCGGCAGCTGGTGCCTGGACCTACAAATATCAGGTGACATTAAAAATATGATGAAAGACCACCTGGAACCATTCAGTGGGATTATTCATGAGGTGCCAAAAGCTGCCATCTGTCGTTTGAGAGGGAAAGAAAGGAAGGGAAGGATTGAAATGTAAGTGCGTAGTTATGTGAAATATAGGTAAAGAGATGATCCACTCCCCTTTAAAGAAAGACCTTATTGATGCCAATAAACAGTCAGTACAGCTAACAGGTCCCAGCTGGAGTCCCTGTCTCACATTAACCTCAGCTGGGAGATTTTGGCAAAAAAAAAAGAAAGCTGCAGTCGTGGATGACAAATCCCATGTGGAAACACTTCCAGAAATAACTCTCCTGTGGGACATTTTATGACTGAACTTTCTGGCTCTCACAGGGTCTCAGACAGTCCCGGAAGACTTATTAGGATTAAGTGGACAGGAAGCCATTAGCAGGTTAGAGTAGCAGTCATTTGGGAATGATGGTTCAAATCCTCTAAATCAAT